CGACACTGAGGGTTGCGATCCCGGTGCCGGTCTCGGTCCGGTACAGGCGCGACACTGAGGGTTGCGATCCCGGTGCCGGTCTCGGTCCGGTACAGGCGCGACACTGAGGGTTGCGATCCCGGTGCCGGTCTCGGTCCGGTACAGGCGCGACACTGAGGGTTGCGATCCCGGTGCCGGTCTCGGTCCGGTACAGGCGCGACACTGAGGGTTGCGATCCCGGTGCCGGTCTCGGTCCGGTACAGGCGCGACACTGAGGGTTGCGATCCCGGTGCCGGTCTCGGTCCGGTACAGGCGCGACACTGAGGGTTGCGATCCCGGTGCCGGTCTCGGTCCGGTACAGGCGCGACACTGAGGGTTGCGATCCCGGTGCCGGTCTCGGTCCGGTACAGGCGCGACACTGAGGGTTGCGATCCGTTGCTGGTCACGAAAAAAAAAAAAAGACAAAAAGGAAAAAAAAAAAAAAAAAAGAAGAGTTTTTGCTAATACTCCTCTATTTCCTGTCAATAGGATGCTTTTTAACCATCTCTTGGTGGCAACATGCCTCCTAAAGATAACCACTTCCATGGCTACATGTTCTTGCCCACAGCTTACTGGCTCCAGCACACATATTGCCTCTTGCTCCAGGCCTGGGAAAATGTGCTCAAAGGTGGGCTCTGCCTGTTCCTTAATGAAGAATGCTGCTTTTATGCCAACAAATCAGCAATAGTGAGAAACATGGTTCATCAGCTAAGAGAGCACCTGGCCAAAAGGAGGGAGGAGTTAGAAAAGTCTTGGTTCTCATGGACAGACAGCTGGAGCTGGCTATCCTGGCTTTTGCCTCTAGTGGGTCCACTGTTTATGTTATTCTTAGCTCTCTTGTTTAGCCCGTGTATTTTAAATTGCCTTACCAGGTTCATTTTGTCTCATTTAGAATCAATCAAATTACACATGGCCTTGACATAACAAGAGTGTGCTTATATGCCCCTAAACAACAGAAACTCTGAAGGTGATGCTCACTCCAATGTTTAGAGAGAGCATCAAAGGGGGGAAATGTTGGGAAACTTCAAAATTAATTCTTTCAATAGCTTGTTTTGCCTTTAGAACAGAACCTGCTTATTGTATCAGCTTTACTGATAATCAGCTGCACTCCTGCTTTTATAAACTTGCTTGCTTATTGCACTGGCTACATGAGTGCTGGGAAAACAAAACTTAGAAGAACCCAGAAGAGTACTCCTATATAAACCCTGTAAGACCTAAATTCGGAGCTTATGTCTTGGAGTGCTAGCTCATCTTGTCCTGTGTAATAAAATACCTGACTCTCCAACCCTCTGAGTCCTAACTGCTTCTCTGTCGAGTCTGTTCCATAACAATATATGTCATATTAAAAGGTGATATATATGGTGGTTCCTCAAAAAATTCAGCATAGAGTTACCATAGGATCTAGCAATTCCAATTCAGGGTATATATACATAAGAATTGAAAGCAGATATTCAAACAGATATATGTATATCATTGTTCCAAGCAGCATCATTCCTAATAACCAAAAGGTGGAAATGACCTGAATGTCGATCGAGGGACAAATGGATAAACAATGTGGTATATACATACTATAGAATATTATTCAGCCTTAAAAAGAAATGAGATTCTCATACATGCTGCCTTGAAGAAATATGTTAAGTGAAAGAAGCCAGACACAAAAAGGCAAATACTATATGATTCCACTCACATGAGGTACTGAGAATAGTCAAATTTATAGAGATACAAAGTAGAATAGTGGTTGCCAGGGGCAGCAGGGGAAAGAGAGATGTTGTTTAATGGTACAGAGTTTCAGTTTGGAATGATGAAAATGTTCTGGAAATAGATGGTGGTGATGGTTGCAAAACATTGCGAACATGCCTAATCCCACTGAAGCGTACACTTAAAAGTGGTTAAAATGGTAAATTTTATGTTGTATATATTTTACCACAACAAAAATAGGTGACCTAGAAATACCATGCACCTGTAAAAAAGAACAAGAAAGATTTCTATATATTGATACTGTACTGATATTGAGAGATTTCCAGGATAAGTTAAGTGTAAAAAAAAAAAAAAAAAAAAAAAAAAAAAAAGTAAGTCACAAAATAGTGTGTATATTATGCTATCATTTGCATAAATAAGGGAGGATAAAAATATGTTTATATTTGCTTTTGTTTGCATAAAGAAACATTGGAAGGATTAGCAAGCAACTAAAAAAAGTTGTTATTGCCAGGAGGCAAGAGGACTGGTAGTGTGATGTATCTGAGACCCCAAAGGTCTGTTGGCTTGCCATTCAATAGCCAATAATCTAGAGACAAGAGTTGCTGTAAGAAAGGTAGCCTTTAATCAGGAAGCTGCAGCCTGAGGAAATGGTAGACTTGTGTTTCAAAGACATTTCTGCCTCTCCCAGGTTTGCTGAAGGGTTTTGTATAGGTCTGTGGTGGAAAGCTAATTCATGGTGACCAAGCAGGGACGTGCAGAATTGCTTGAGTGTTTCAAATAATCATCAAGGAACTTCCCAGCTGGGAGTTGACCAGCATCATACTTCATTCTCCATGAGTTCAGTTCCTGTTATTCTCAAATAAAATCAGAGTTAGTAAGCTAATAAAGAATGGCCATCTGGGTTAATAATTTTTCTACAATTACTTTGTGTACAATGTCAGAGCAAGACTTATTGTGTTCTGGCAATTAGCTGCAGGCTATGTGGTTTGGGTTAAAGGAGAGAACAAGTTTTTAAATTCTAAGGTTTAACAAAATGGAGTCACTTCTGTTAGGCTGTTACAGTGAGACATCTCAGTATATACCTTGTATGTACTTTTGATTTTTTGAATCATGTAAATGTATTACTTATTTAAAACAATTTTTTAAATGTGGAACTTAAAGTGGATTTATTGTAGAGGGATCAATAGTTTGTAGTCACAGAGAATATAACTTTTTATAGGTGCTGATTAACTGCTGCTATATATGATATCCCCTCTCCAACACAAGTGAGGTCCAGGGGTCAGGGGTTGTGCCAGTGTTTGGTGTTTCAAGAGCCTGGTTTTGATGTAGAAGTGGAGTTTTACCTTTTTATCTACTTCAGGCTGCAAAGAGACGATATTTTGGGTTGAGACTTAATAAAGGCAAACTCTCTAAGTTCATCAATACCAAGGAGTTGGAAAGAGATAGACAAGTCATTGTGCCTGGGGTGAGGCCTCTTACCAGTACTTCAAGGTTGGCCATGACAATGGGGTCATTAAAAATGTTATTTGACAGAGTGCTGAAAGTGTTCAAAAGCAGCAGACTCTCTGGATATAGCTCTGTGTCCCTCCAAAATGCAACTTTCTCTGATTCCATCATTAATTAGGAGGATATTTTGTCTAACACTTGCATCTGAAGCAAGAAGCAGGACTGCTTAACATTTCTTAGGCAGTAGCAACAGAGATAGCAGATGATAGCTGAGCACCAGACTAATTCCTCTTCCCACCTCCCCACCCAAGGGAGTAGGACTGTTACATCTTCCCTGTATTTCCCTTCCAACTCTTCCTTTTCCACTTAGACTGAACAGAAAATATAAATAGAATCCTGAGGTAGGTTGTGAAAAGTGGAAGATGGGCCAAGGGCAGCCCAGCCTATACTACCTCTTACCTCTTAGCTGTGTTCCAGGGCTTATGGGTTGGAGGCAGACCCCAGGCAATCATACTCTGGAATCATGTCCAACTATATCTTGAACAGCACCCTCAGGCAAGTTTGTCAAGGTGTAGATGAACAGAAAGAGCTGAGGTACAGAGCCAAAATGAAAGAATTGGGGAACTTGGAAATCTGTCATTGAAAATAGTGAAGAAATAGGCAGTTGGGAAGTAGGCTATAAAAATTCCAGAGATGGAATTCAGATGATTTTTACATGATTCCAGCAAAGGCACTCAAGGTGCCCTTGCTCATTTAAAGTTATTAGAGTGGGTAAGCAATTTATTTTTCTCTGCCTCATTGATCTGTTTGTATGTCTGTCTTCCCTACTACATTGTGGGAATTGAAGATAAGGACTTCAGCTGTAGTAGAAAAAGCATGGACTTTCCAATCAGGCATATCTATTTAAATCCACACCCTTCTCTTTCCAGCTGTTTTATTTTGGCTAAGTTATTTTTATCACATTGAACCACAGGTTCTGTGTGTATTATAGAGTTGTTATAAGGATTAAATGAGTGAATAACATTTGTATGTAATCATCTTGCCCACAGAAAGTATTCAGTAGTTTTCTTCCCTTTCACTTTTTGTGATATTCAAAATATTTATCAAATTGAGTATGTTTCTCTCTACCTATGAAATCTGAATCCTGGTTTAGGTCAGCCTGAGGCAGAGATATTTATAAGGCTTTTACCTTGAGTGGTTAATGTTGCTGTTGCTAAATATTTTATCAAGCAACTTTCTGTTATGTGAAGTTTTCACTTGTTGATCTTGTCTGTCTTTCCTCCTTATTATCAGAGTCCAGCTTGAAGCTTGTACTGTGTGAAGATCTATTCCTTTTTTCTATTTGCAGGACCTCTTCTCAGCTACAATTTTTATCAGTGGGTATGAGTCATTCCCTTACACTCACTTCTCTGCTAAAAACCCTCAACCACTCACTCTAGGCCTGGATGAGTGTAGGGATTCTTAAAATATCTTTTTTTGTCAAAATTTATTGAGCACTAATATTGTGGTAGGGTAGATATAAACAGTATTAATACACGATTCCTGCTTCCCAAGGAGCTATTCCTCTAGTAAAAAAGATAACACATGTACCAAAATATAGTTAATTTTTTGGTGATATGGTATTACTTCTGTTTGCCATTTTACCATTTGAAATTATCCCATTTGAAAAACACATACACATAGAAAAAGGATTAGAAGATGTTGACTAGTGGTATTTTGGACAGTATTTTGCTTACCTGGATTTTCTAAATTTTCAGATTTCATTTTAAATTATAAGAAATTCATTATTTCCCCATTCTTACTAACAATAATGACCCCCCTCTTTTTCTTGCATTCAGCTTTTGCGAGAATTGAAGCATCCTAATGTGATCGCTTTGCAGAAGGTGTTCCTTTCTCACAGTGACAGGAAAGTGTGGCTGCTGTTTGATTATGCAGAGCATGATTTGTGGGTAAGTCTAAATTCACTGTGTTTTTAGGATTATTTTATATAGGCATGGAAATATATGTATGCAGTACATATTGCCAATGCACAGAAAAGAAAGCTTGGTCTGTTAACCATAGTTCAAAATAAATATAATAGTGTACATGTTGATTTTAAAGAATTTAAGCAATTAACATTTTACTGAGAAGATAGTTTTGTAATATTCAGAAATTTCACTTCAGAAAATTTTAATGAGTGGGAGATTAAAATTTTATGCAAGTAATTAATGGCAGTTTACTAATATTTATAGTGAAAATTACTTTCTTTTGTGATATGCACAGTAGTTCAAATTTAACCAGGTATGTACTTGAATAGTTACTCTAAGGTCAACCTCTTGCAACATTTTCCCATTTAAAACCGGCTCTACCAAATACAATTATAAGTATGATTTTACACATTTTAATTAGACATCAGGGCATCTGAAGATTTTATCCAACAAACTACTAAAAGTAAAAATTATGGACTTCAAATTAAATTGTGATTCAGTATGGTATAATAGTCTATATAACTATAAATCTGTTTAGGATTAGCTTTTACAAGACTCATAGGTCTTGAAGGAACTTTTAGAGTTCATGCCATTACAGCAGCTATTGACAAGAACCTCAAATGTTTTCTCAATTCTTTTCTTAGATATTCATAAAAGTTATATTTTCCCCATTTTTCTGTATTCCCTGTATTTCTACCAAGGTTTACTGGATAATGTATATACTTCACTTTGTATATCAGTGATATGTTGAAAGAAGGTATAATACATTGGACTAGTCAGATCCTGTAGAACTGTACTGTCCAGTGTTGTGCACACATTAACGTCTGTTTCTTTTTCTTTTTTATTTAATGTGGCTGTTAAAAAGTTGAAAGTTATATATGCGGCTCCCATTATATTTCTGTTGGAAATTGCTGCTGTACTATGAAGTCTCCTTTTCTGTTATTTCTTAAAATCAAGTGAATGTTATTGAGTAGTTTATAAAAATAGGAAAACTGTATAGCTTAATAATTAAATAATTAATTAATTAATTAATTTTTGTCCTTTTTGAGACCGGCCGCACCGCTTTAGGTAGCCATTTAAATAACAACCCTTTTTGCCTTTTGGTCCTATTTAATGAAAATCTTGATGTTTTTAGTAGATCTAGTCATTATAACCCCACTTTAACATGGTCACATTCACCCCTAAAATAGATTCAGTTTTGGTTGACCTTATTATTCAGATTATTTTGTGTATGTGTCATTATTGGTCTTTAATAAATCATTTAAAAATATAGAACATTTATGGCAACCTTGTTGTGTTTTATTGACATAGATATTAGCAAAGACCATATATTATTATAGTATGTTTTCTTTTTCTAATTTTTAGCATATTATTAAGTTTCACCGCGCATCTAAAGCAAATAAAAAGCCCATGCAGTTGCCAAGATCTATGGTGAAGTCATTACTTTACCAGATTCTTGATGGTATCCATTACCTTCATGCAAATTGGGTACTTCACAGAGACCTGGTAAGAATGTTTCTTTCAAATTCATCAATATGTTTTTTCCTCCTCTTTTAAGAAATATCTTTTCTTCTTGGTACAATTATAATAAAATATTAATTATAGAAATTTTTGAAAATACATGTATGCAAAAAAGGAAGAAATAAAAATCACCCATAAACCTATAATCAAAAGATTACCATTATTAACCTTTGGTGTGTATTATTCCATTATATTTATGCATAGCTGTAAAATGTCAGTGTGATTTTTAACAAATGATTAGTGTAAAATTTTAATGGGGTTGTCATATGTGACAAATGTGTTTCAGTCCAGTTTGTACTATTGCTCCTCATTAGTGAAAACATTGATAATTAAAGACTGACTTCTCATTCTTTTCCCCTTAAAATCTAAACTGAAATAATGATGTTACATCTGGTAAAAAGAATGTTGTTATCAGTATTAACAATAAATAAATCTAACAGATGTAATATACTAATAGACAAATTAGCTGTAGTTCAAATGTTTGACTTTACTTTTTTATTCAGTATACCTATAATAAACATTTATCAAATTATGTGCTAGATATTAGTCTTCACATTGTTGTCATTTTGATGAGCTTATGTTGATGAGACTTTTTTGTCATTTTTTTAGAATATGGGGTACTGAATAGTGTAATCCTCATGAGCTTATTAGTGGAGGTTTTATTTTGTCTGCCCAAAAGCGGTTTCATGATCATTTATTTTTTAGGCTTTTGAGAATTCTAGAGATATGGTAGGAATAAATCTAGGTAGATTTCAGTTTTATTAACTGAGGAGAAGAATTTATTATAGAAAGGAATGAAGACGTAAAGAGATCTAGTCAGTATCTTTTGGTACCTTTTCAGTCAGGCCATGTCATCTGAGTTGACCACCTCTTGTGGCATTGTAGTTAAACTGGGGCCAAATGGTAGCGACTACAAAAGACGTTTTTACCATTTTAACAGGAGCATTTCACCTTAGAATTTTTAACTCTAAGGTCCTTCAAGACTTTCATCTGTCCACTTTACTATTAACCATGAATCCACATGTTTTAAAATGATTCTTGGGCACACAAGGTTGTTCTAGATCATGAGAAGACCTCCTTCATAAATGGGCTTTTAGATTATACTTTGCTGTACACTTCATGTAACCTATGTGAATTATGTTTTTGAGGGTATGATCATGTTTGAATCATCAGAATCTTTAATTGAAGATCGATTTGAACTCTTCTCTCATTTCATAAAATAATATATTTTTTTCTAAACAGCATAGTTTAACACATTTTCTTCATGATATTGTCCACTGAATGTCCACTGATACTAAAATTCAGTATGACCAGAACTCAGTTTGCCCTCATCCAAACTTGCTGCTGCTTTAGTGTCCTCTCTCTGGGTTATGGCACCACTCTCCTCCTAGCTAGAACTTCTTTTATCTTTTTTGTAGATCCTTCTTTGTACTCCACATCTAGAACTTGCCAAGCTCTCTCCTATTAATCTATTTCCATCCCTAGTGCCTCATTCCTAATTCAGGCCTTTTAATTAGCTATTTCTCATATTATGGTACTAGCCTCTTAACTTGTCTCCTTGTCAACAATCTCTTTCCCTCCAGTCCACCTTAGATCTTCTGACTGAACTACTCAGGTCTTGCTCAAAAGCTTTGAAATAGTTCCTTACTACTTATAGACCAAAGTTCTAGTTCCTTATGTGGCTTTCAGGGTCTTACCAGATCTAGCTCCAACTGCCTTTAAAATTTTCTCTATCCCCGTTATCTTTTACTGCACTGCACTATTGAACTATTGATTGTTTCCTACATCCTCCTGAGATTTCCTGCCTCAGTGGCCTTTACTTCCCCTGTCTTAAAACCCCTTACTTCTGTCTCTACATATTCAAATACTACCTATATTTCAGGGCCCAGAACAAACGTTAAAGCTTATCCTTATATCCATCTCTACATGGAAATAATTTTTCCTCATTGTTGGTTTCTGTTGTACTTCATCTTTATTTCTCTTATGGCATTTATCTATTAGTATTATAGTAATTTACATAGATGTCTGGGATCATCTCCTAGACTATAAACTTCTTGAGAGAGCAAGGTCTATGTCCGATTCTTTTTGTACACCACTACTCCTGTACACAGTAGGTGTTGAGGACATAATTCCTCAGTGATCGAATGAATATCAGTGAGAATATTGATTATTATGGCATTTTTGGGGGTCAAGTATTTGAACACACTGTCCTCAATGAACATTTATTATTTTCTTGTATGTGTAAAGCACAGATGGATGGGGACAGTACAAATAATGACTGCATCAAAGACCTTCTTCTCAAGGAGTTTATAGTCCAAGAGAAGAAACAGGACACACGAGCAATTATACTATAAGATAGATGAGAGAGAATGTTGTGGCTACCTGACAGGTACAGACTAAATGATATTCAAGGTCAGAAGAGGTTCTGAGTGGGGAATAAGGGAAAACTTCAGAGAGCAGGGGGCATTTGAGCTGGACTATGATAAATATCAGGCTAGGGAGTTTGGGGGGTCTTTTGTTTGTTTTATTAAGTACTGAAAGTTTGTACAACAGAATGAATTTTTTTCCACTGCTAAAGAAGACACCACTAATTATTACCTTGTCCATAGCATGAACACAGTGTTGGAATTGTGTTCTGAATGTAGTTCTGACCTAGTACAGCACTTTTTAAAATTCTACCCAAACATTTACCAAATGCCTTCACTCCTCAAGTGAGTAACTCTAAGGTTTGAAACTTTGAACAAATAGTCTGTGACAGCCTCTTCAGTTCTTTTCATTGGATCATATTGTAATGGTTTTGCTAAACTATTTACAGGAGTAGAAGATTTAAACTGTATGATTACTTTGTTGATATAAATACAGAAATATAAAGTATATCAAATATGAATGGAGTATTAAAAGGAGAATGATGGAGACATTTGAACAATTGTTTTTTTGTGAGCTTAAGAGCAGAGTTGCTTTTAATCAATGAATGGTTTTTCTTTTTCTTTTTTTCATTGCAAACTTTATTTTTATTTATTTATTTATTTTTATTAGCATATTCATTGTTACAAATCATACTTATTCTTTATGTCCCTTATCCAGTCTCTTCCCTCCTCTCTCCCCCTCCCAATAACCATAGATTTGTTCTCTCCATCTGATAGATTAACTGTTCCTCTTTTGGTTTATTGCCTAGATGATTTGTCCAGTACTGAGACAGGTGTGATCAAGATCTCCCCTATTATCGTAAATTATGTGCAGAGAGAGGTCCTCTTCTTTTTTTTTTTTGGTCTCCGCTGGTGCCTCTCCTTGTGTCAATGCAGTTGAGAGTCTGGTGTGCCCTCTGCACAGTGGCTATGACTGCTGCTATAGAGACTAGCAGCATATACGGCAGCCATGGCAATTGTGGTGGCTATGTTGGGCTACGCAGGCGAAAATGGTGTTTTTGGTGTGCTCTTTACCTGGTTGTGGCTGGGTTTGGCTTCCCCTGGTTCCATGCCTCATTCAAAGATGTGTTGTGGAGCAGAATGGGAAAAGTAGGGGGAGGGGAAATAGGGTGGGAAGAGGTGGGGGGAGCATGACTGAGGCCCATTGCCCCACCCCCGCCATTCTGGCAGGGGAGATCAGGGGACTTCCAGTGGCAGCTAGGTCATCGCTGGGCTGGATGTGGATGTCAGGATAGTGTGGCTAAAGCCCTCGGCCCCCCACTGCTCTGGCTCGGGAGCCTGGGGTGCTTCCTGCAGCAGCTTGGTAATCGTTGCTGTGCTGGTTGCAGATGTTGAGG